TGCCCTTCCTCCTGCATGCCGGTAAGGATCAAAACACGGCCAATATTAGCCCAAGTGTTAGGCTACGGCGTAAGCATCATTCCTGCTAATAGCGATTTGCGAGTTTAGTGCAAAAACGCATGATCGCACCGGACAGCTTGGTGCGTTCCAGCCCGCCCCACCACCGATGTTTCCTTCGTGAACTCGCCGCAATCAAGTAACTGAATGTAGGCACTGAAATAAACTCTTTCTCTTCCCTGGTCCTCTTCCTGACGTGTCACATAAACATCACTCGACTGTGTCACGCACCCGCTGTTCGTAACCTTTGCACCACTCCGGCTCTTTTTACCTGCCAACACTACCTCTGTTTTGCTTTACGTCTTAAAGAGCCTTAGGCGCATGAAAAATCAGTAGCAGGAGACAACGAAAACGAAAGAAAAAAGAACTAATGTTTTGCTTCACTGGCTTAAATATCAGTTAATCAAAAAACACTATTTGTGGGGAGGAACTAATAACTGCGTCTTCTACGTCGTCCCTTGAATCAGATGTAGGCCAGAAAATTATCAAACGAAGCGAAAAATGAGCAATATGCAAAAAATTCGACATAAATGCTTGCCGTTTTCTTTGTTTTGCGCAGTTTTTTGGTCAACTTCTTCCGTTTGATACCGTTCTGAAATACTGGAGCAAAGTTAGCGCAAATAGAGCACTGCTAAGCCATCACCGAAAACATCGTGAAATACAGTACGATACCTTTTTAGGTGCGCGATCTGTTGGGGTTTCAGTGGCTGCCCTCTCCTCAACCTGAAAAGATTTGTTTAAAGAGGTCACGCTTTGCCGCAAAACTTACGCGCTTTGAGGAACAACTCCATTTATAACGCCCATTACGAAATTTTTGGCTGATTACTACCCAAATGTTTCTTGCTAAATCGAAAGGAGATGAAATGCTCAAAGTTACTTTTATAAGCTCATAACTTTCAAAAATGCAAAAAGCTCACTTGCATTTCGCCAAGCTGCTCTAATTCCTCAACTGCACCAATCTGCTCGTCGTGCTGCTCCATTTCCTCGACTGCACCAATATGCTCACGTCCCATCACAGTATCCGCGAACAGCAGCGAATCGACGCGCACCGAGCAACTGTAATGGATCATCTGGTTCTGGAAACTGGCAATGAGTACCCAACGAAGAAAAAAAAAATTTGCACTCACATGATGCTAAAGCTTTTGCAAAAAACCCTGATCACCTTCTGATCTTTGGAGAGAAATTCGAAAACAAAAAGATTTTTTCTACGATGTAAAAACCGCTTCATATTTCAATTACGTCAGTCCCCACAAAACTATTCATGCCTCCCCCCCCCCCCC